AAATTAAGCATATATTTGATCATTTCTGTTGCATTTTATTGATTTACTTGCATGTTAAGAAAAATGACACCGGACCAGATAAACTTAACATGTACTGACAACGGACTTTTTGCTTATAAATTGCGATTTCTTAAAACATGTTAACTACAAATTGCGGTCAGTTGCCTAATACATTTAAAATGAAGTTTCTCTTCATATTTTAAAATAAAAGTACCATTTCGATGAATTAAATATAAGAAATATATAATTTTCCATCTCACGATCATGCTCTCACACATGTGCATGTGATCGCCAACCAAAACTCCTCAAAATGTATTAAGGATATCAAATACATAAATCTTTGTATGGAATACTGAATGTTGTATCTGTTTCCCAAAATTCAAATTTATTCTAAGAATTTGTCAAAAACGTTAAATTCTAGGCATTATGTATAAATTCTTGTATCTTTTGCATGACACCGGACGGATTTTATCATAACCTCACCTGTATGTTCATGACAACGAACCAGTTTCAGTGCTTAACTTTAAAGGTTTCTGACAACGGTACTGTCTAGGAACTTAACGTGTTCCTGGCTGTGTAAATGGAGTTCATCCAGGGCTACACAATTATTCAGTACCGATCCAGTACACATGGTGACATGGTCAATACATCAATAGAATCAAATATACAGTGAACAACACTTGCAGAAGTCTAAGGCCAGTATATAAAACTCAATATTGAAGCAAAAGATATATTTTAATATATATGTAATGTATCTAGGGAATAAGTCTGAGAGTAAGATATAAAGCAATAAAGAAAAGAAAAATATGATTGCATCTAACATTGTGTCAAAGATTACCCTCTGTCAGACTAATATGATTTTTCAAGAAATTTGTGCACACCATGCTATAAGGTTTGTAAGTACATGAACTTTCCATACATGATGTCTAAGTACATGTAAATCATGTCACATCCTCTAATTTATTGGTTCTCAATGTGAACTCGCAGTATACATCATGTCTATGTTTTCCATGTTATTGCCTCTAAGTTATTGGTTCACAGTGTGAACGCTCAGTATACATGATGTCTAAGTTTTCCATGTTACTGCCTCTAAGTTATTGGTTTGCAATGTGAACTCTCAGTATACATGATGTCTAAGTTTTCCATGTTACTGCCTCTAAGTTATTGGTTTGCAATGTGAACTCGCAGTATACATGATGTCTAAGTTTTCCATGTTACTGCCTCTAAATTATTGGTTCGCTATGTGAACTCTCAGTATACATGATGTCTAAGTTTTCCATGTTACTGCCTCTAAGTTATTGGTTTGCAATGTGAACTCTCAGTATAATATGATGTCTAAGTTTTCCATGTTACAGCCTCTAAATTATTGGTTCGCTATGTGACTCGCAGTATACATGATGTCTAAGTTTTCCATGCTACTGCCTCTAAGTTAATGGTTCGCTATGTGAACTCTCAGTATATATGATGTCTAAGTTTTCCATGTTACTGCCTCTAAGTTATTGGTTCGCAATGTGGACTCGCAGTATACATGATGTCTAAGTTTTCCATGTTACGCCTCTAAGTTATTGGTTCGCAGTGTGAACTTGCAGTATATGATGGCGAAGTAATTCATGCTACTGTCTCAAAGATTTTGGTTCTTATTGTGAACTAGCAGTACATAATGTCTAAGTAGAATTAGTTGTGTCAATGCATCTATTCTACGCTATTGGTTCTCAGTGAGATCTAGGAGCACATGATGTATAAGTAAGTCATGTTACTGTCTCAATGATTTTGGTTCTCAATGTGAACTAGCTGTACATGATGTCATAGTAATTCATGTTAATGTCTCAAAGATTTTAGGTCTTAATGTGAACTAACCATACACATGGTACTTGATGTCTTAGAACTCAAAGTTAGTCTTTGTTACTGTCTCAAAGATTTATTTCTCAATGCGAAATAGCAGTATATGATGACTAAGTAAGTTTAGTTCATTGTTTCTTAGTTATTGGTTCTCAACATGAAATAGCAATACATGATGTCTAGGTAAAGTTAGTCATGTCACAGTCTCTAGATATTGCAATTGGTTCTCAATATTGACCTAGCAGTTATTGGTTCTTAAGATGAACTAGCAAAACATAATCAATGTCTAAATTATTTGTGTCATGGTTGCTAAATTATTGGTGCTCAATATTATCAAGCAGTACATAATGTCTAAGTTAGTCATGTCATGGTCTCTAAGTTATTGATCCTTAATATGTACTAGCAGTACATCATGTCTAAGTAAAGTTAGTCATGTTACTGTCTCAAAGTTATTACTTATGTGCACTACCAATCACATATGTATATTGAAGTAAGACATATCTCTCTCTCTTTTACAAGAAGTAAACAAGAATAAAGTTAGCAGTACATGAATCTCAAGATCACTTCAAAATGTTTAAGTCAAATATCAATACAGAATCACAAACAAAGCATGGCTTTTAATTTTAATTTAAATTTTATAAATCACCATGAAGTGATAGATTTATTTACCATTTTCTTATGTCTAAGAATATTTAAAATTTCTTATAATACTTTTAAACCACTGTCATGATTTTATCAAAGTATATGTATAATTATGAAAGGTCAATATAAAAAAATTTTGATGAGGCATTTCAGTCTAAAATGAAAAAGTACCAGATGGTGTTTTCCTGGTTAGATAATAAGTTTAATATAGAGAGAAAGTAATATATATACATTGGTAACATATAAAATTAGAATTTGCCCTTTCAGTTTCATCTGTCAAAGAAATGACTAGACACAGATGATTCCCCAGTAAGTAGAAAGAGAGTAATTTGGCAGTCGAGAATTGGAAACGGCAGAATATGATATCAAGTCTCTCGACTCTCAAAGTGCCATCACCAATGCCGAACCTATACAAGTGGATATCAAGAGTCATAGAATACACTTTCCACTGAACCCAGTGATCAAGTTTCTAATAATCCTGGACATTCTTCAGATTCTACTATATATCTGCTTTGCTAAATCATTGGTCACATTGAAGGGGTTATTTGAAAATGTTATGTTTTATGTATATCTAATATTTGGTACTACCCTTCCATACAGCCATGAATCATTTCATTCTTTGTTTTCCAATCAATGATATTTAAGTCTAGGAATGTGTTTGTTGCTTCTTGGTTAGAGGTACATTATTATGCCCTCCAACTCAATCAAAAGAAATGAATCTTTCAAAGATACATTAATTCCATGATTTGTTAGATAAACAATAGTCTATCTAGCTTTAGCATTTTTAGAAAAGAAGAAGTTAGACTGCAATTAATTTTACATATAAACCATTTTTTTTTATGAATGTTGTATCTGAACAGGCAGAAAAAGTTAAATACAAGTATTATAATTTATAAAGTTAGAAATGTTTAAGTTTATTAGCAAATTAATATGTTCAGGCTACCCACAATTGAATATACCCAAGTCAAAGTGAAAGGCAGTTCTTTGGCAGTTTTTTAACCTTAACAGTTCAATGCTTTAGCAGTTCTTAGACAGTTTACTAGCCTTCTCCTCTGTTGGTGGCAGAAGGTTTTTGCATGCTAATCATTAGGCAGTTTTTATTAGCAGTCCACCATTTAAGCAGTTGCTAGGCAGTTCATTAGCAGTATCTTAGCAGTTCCTAAGCAGTTTTCTTGGCAGTATCTTAGCAGTCAATAAGAAGGTTAAGGTGAACTGCTTAAAAACTGCTAAGGAACTGCTATATACATATAAATATGAAAATATAAGAACTGCTTAAAAACTGGTAAGAAACTGCTATAAGCAGTTTACTTATAAGGAAATAACTCCACCCACATATGAATATGAAAATGCATAAAATTTATCCTTCCAGGGTGATTTATTAAAAAAAAAAACATTACATATGAGAATTTAGCTTAGTATTAAAATGAAACATTGTGTAGTTGAAAAATAAACATAACTAATTTTCATTTCCCTCTCAATTATCGTAAGTAAATTGTTTGAAATTTGACAAATCTACAAATTCGACAAATGGTTGACCATTTATGAAAAATGAATATGACAATTAACAAACTATATCCCATTGCTGAAATTTTAAATGACAAAACTGAAATCATCCTATCAGCATTACAATTGTTGAAAAATAATATAACAATCTAATGCAAATTCAATTTTTCTAACAAATATTTCAAAAGAAATACAACCCTTTCAAAACACTAAATTATCCACACATTGATAGGCATAGTGTAAAACAAATGGTTGACAATTATTGAAAATCTCTCAACACTACAAAATATACATTGCTAATGTTTTTTTTTTTTTTTTGTTAATTTCCTACCTAGGTGTATACACATTTAGATGATCAATATACAAACACTGGTATCAAGCCACATGTAGGTATTAATGTTAATCCAACATCACTCAGCATCACTAATTTTTGAACCAATACAAAAACACTCTCAAAAAATCAATTTCTGCAGATGGCATAATCCCAAAGAATATACAATTTGAACAAAACACCAATTCATTTTAATATCCATAAACAGGCAAAATGCAGCGTATACTTTTTCCTGCACATACGGAAAGGTCCATGGCCTACAGTGCTCACCTGCCTAACATGAACAGAAATGAACTTCTCCAAGTCCAATTAATGCATGACTTCACTCTAGCCATCAGTTCAATCAACCTTAAATTCACATTTAAATATAACATCTTCACAGATATATCTAACAAACAGTAGCCTTGTTCTGAAAGGCTTTTAATATAACACCCCTTTCCTTTTCAATCAGAATGCCGAATACCTCCTAAGACTTAGGTGGGAATTCTTTTAATCTTTGTCACGTGTGGAAAAACTTCTTGCAATTTATGTCATTTTAAACTTAGCTGTTCTGATGATGACTCAAAGTATTCCTAAAATATATCCACTCGGAAATGTGCCTGAATTAAGTAAATTAATGTGGATTTTTTTTTTTTTTTTTTTTTTTACACATTCACAGACAAACTTCAATTTGAAAAGTGAGGAATTATTTTTCTGCAGATGTAGAAGTTCCTTTTACAGCAATTTGAGGCACTTTAAGACTTGGATGTTTGGATGCTATCCTCCTCGAATTTGTAATCTTGTTTGTGATGGTCATATTGAATTCAGCTGCTGTCAAATTGGTCCAGCTGTTCTGTTCACAGTGGTAGCGCAAATATTCTGTATTGAAAAAATATACATATATACAATTTTTATTGTTTCCTTGGTCATATTTAGTGCTATATATATATATATATATATATATTCAAAACTTGTACCATTCATTCTTAAGGACCCTCTATCAATATTAATGTAAATGTTTTCTGGAGATTTAATTAGAAAATGATATTAAGTATATATACTAAGCCTAGCTGTTCCATTTTCAATAAAGGAGAACTTGTCATTTACCTTCAGGAAAAAATTTCAAAGACAAAATAGTATTCATGAACACAAATCTCTGTTGCTTATTTAATCAGGAATAATACATGCAAATAAAGTGTTACATGTATAAATTTTGTTTTTGGCCAATTAAAATCTTTGAGTTCATTAAATACAAACTAATACATGTAATATGCTGCAGATTTATGGGCAGAATAATCTAACTGCATAAAAAAGGAATCGGAACTCTTTAGTGTGCAGTGTTTAGAGGATCATTGAAAGACAGAGCAAATCTAGTCATTAAATTGACAAATTTGGGAAAATAAGTTACATTTAATGCAGCAAATTTTATACATCTTTATATAAAAAAATAATAATAATAATATGGTACCTTTGATAGCTGACACCTTCAAGGCATCAAGTGGTGGCCCATTTAACACTTGTCCTTTGGGAGAATTTTCTTTTTTCTTCCTTAGTCCTAAACCTGAGGAGGAAGACAACTCCTTACGACTAAAAACTAATTCTAAAAGGCCATTCAGCATTGTGTAGGTGGGCTTCTTAGATGCAGCAGCCTTTAATTTCAATTCCCTCTCCTTTGGTTTATCAACAATCACGTTTCTAAATCTTTCAGGGTCTGATGGATCCTTTATCAGCATTCCCATATTCTAAACAAAGTTTAATATTTTGGGGAATTTAAATCATTTTCTATTTCTTATAAACAAACATCTTTTCACTGAACATGCTGAAAGATTTTTTTTTTTACTTAAATAAAAAAAGGAACAACAAAGTCATTGACTGATTTGATTTTTGAAACTCCAGAGAGGAAAATTAAAGCAAGAAACATTTAATTTTCAATGTCTCTTTTTTTTTTTGGTTATTGATAACATGCATCATGTCATGCATCAATAAAAATGTTTTGTTTTACATTCTGTATAGAGTATGGATGTTTTTTTCTCATGCAATGGTCTTGTTCTATTTTTACTTTTATTGCAAGACCAGTGAGGCACATTAACAGAGCATTTCAATCATAGTAATATTAAAAATCACTTTAATTACCTTCATTGGTCATTCCTTGTAGCTCACTGTCATTGCAACATTAACACAATGCTAATACCATTCAAAATAAAAATAATTAAATAAATTTTCTTCAAAGTTATAAAACAAAAGTATTCTTAATAAATCTTGTGGTTTCAACAAAGACAGTGGACACAATTTTGGAAAATTATCCATGCTGAAAACTTTCTGTTATGAATAATTCAAATTGCAGTAATATAATGAAAAAAATAGCATTAACTCAAGTCAGATTTCCACAAATTAAATTCTCATTCTTGTTCTCATATTATGGCTCATCAGGTTATCTTTAAAAAACTTTGCTTGCCCTCTCCCAACTTAGGATAAAAACAATTAAGTAATAGTATGTAAGGAAAAATTTTTTATTCAAAAACACTGGCGATTTAGATGAAGTTAAAATATAAACTGATGGATTAAGAAAACTTAGGAATGAATAAAAAAGTTTCCTAGAGGTTAAAAAGTTAAGTTTTAGTCAGCCAATTGGGAGAGGGCAAACATTTTTTGAAAGATGGCCTCACTGTAAAAAATAATTTTCCATTTAACTATAAAATACATTAATTAGAAAACTATAGATGACACATTTACACTGACAATTTTTCTTATAAAAATGAGAATGTAAATTGTAAAATAAACAAGATTTGAGTATTAAGATTGTGTTAAAAACTTTATGGCACTAAAAATGGAACTAGTTTCCACACTAACTATCCTAAAAACATTTCAAAATTATTTGGGTAACAGGCAGTTTCATTCATGAAGAATTAGCAAATACCTTTGAAATGACTGGTGAACTTTCAGTCTCCAGACTGAAACTTGACATTCTATCAGAATCTGTTGGGCTATGATTGATTGATCTTGGACCCATAGTAGAAGCTTCATCACCTAGAAGGTAGGCTATTTTACGCAGCACTGTGCTCGCAATTGAAGCCTCCCTTGGGGTAATACCTAGTACTTTTTAAAAACGAAAGGAAAATATAAGGCAATAAATACAGATGGCTTTGAATAGCACAAAAGAACAAAATTATAGAAAATACTTCAATTATAAGCTCAGATTTAATCTATATATGATAAAAAAAAAATGTACTTACAAACACAGAGATTATGGGCCTGCTGCAATTGAAGTGGTGCAGGTGCAAGTTCATTGTCCAGTTGCTCAGGGAAACTTCTCTGTGCATTGGCCCCAAAATTAGTGGACTCGAGCTCTGACTGACTGCATATTGGGGCAGCATTAGAGTCTCTCTCATTCCAATCAATAATGTTAAATGAGTTTACAAATGTCCCGTCCCACTGACTTTCTCCATCTTTAATGGGTGAAATATTCTCAAAAAGAAGTGAAGAGCAAGGACCCCTTTGTATACCTGATTCTTGTGCAGCCAACTGAAGACGTGGAGATCTTCTTGGGGTTTTTAATTTGGTTAGCATTTTCCTAGGGGTTGAATTTTGCCTTGGAGGTGTAGATTCATAGTACGATGGGGTAGGTCCACTTTCAGAGTGTAACAAAGTGGCATGGTGTGGCTGTGTCACTTCTCTTGGTGTTTCTCTTGCAGCTCTATCAGTTTCTAATGGAAGGGTAACTCTCTGTGTGGGATCATGCACAGCTGACTTAAGTCTTGGAGATTTCCTTGGGGTTTCTAGGATGGTGAGCATTTTCCTAGGGGTTGAATTTTGCCTTGGCACATAGTACGATGAGGTAGGTCCACTTTCAGAATGTAACAAAGTGGCATGGTGTGGCTGTGTCACTTCTCTTGGTGTTTCTCTTGCAGCTCTGTCAGTTTCTAATGGGAGGGTAACTCTCTGTGTAGGATCATGCACTGCTGACTTAAGTCTTTGAGATTTCTTTGGAGATTCTAGGATGGTGAACATTTTTCTTGGGGTTGAAATTTGCCTTGGCACATAGTACGATGAGGTAGGTCCACTTTCAGAATGTAACAAAGTGGCATGGTGTGGCTGTGTCACTTCTCTTGGTGTTTCTCTTGCAGCTCTGTCAGTTTCTAATGGGAGGGTAACTCTCTGTGTAGGATCATGCACTGCTGACTTAAGTCTTGGAGATTTCCTTGGAGATTCTAGGATGGTGGGCATTATCCTTGGGGTTGAATTTTGTCTTGGAGGTGAAGGCACATAGAACGATGGGGTAGGTTCACTCTCAGAGTGTAACAAAGTGGCATGGTGTGGCTGTGTCACTTCTCTTGGTGGTTCTTTTACAGATCCAATTTCTGGAGACACTTGCTCCTTTTCAGTCAGTGTGCATGCTTTTGTGTTTGGTTTTGATGATGCAAAGCTCATTTGTGCCACAGTAATTTCGTCCTCCTCACCCAATAATGCACTAATTTCGGCCAATTTCTGAGGGTGAATACAGGATTTCTTGGTAGTTGAAGTGGAAGGTTGATCTGTTTTTTTAGCTTTTTTACTTTTCTCTGTGCCTTTCACTTTGTCTTCTGTGTCACTCTTTTTTACTTTTTTTGCTTTTGGTTTTTCTTCAGTCAGGCTCTCAATAGCCTCTGCTAATTTGGCAGCAGAATCCCTTTTTTTCCCTTGGTCCTGCAGCTTGTTGATAATGCTAAACAGAGACGTTCCCGAGTCAAGATCTTTCTGGCCCTTGTTAGCCAATTCCACAGCTTTCTTTTTCACTAAATAAAGGAAAAGAGTTCATATTTCAATTTTATAATTGTACTATATGTATCATACAAAACAAGATTTATAAAATAAAATTCAAATAATGGGTGTCCAGTCAACTCGTACACAGCAACCCGACTCGTACACAAATAGCTGCAATAATGTAGGCTCCGACGATTTTTTTTTACCTGATATTTTCAGGAGAGGGCTACAATTCCACTGTATCTCCTTAATGGTGCAAATATATTTTTAGATAAGGCCGACTACAGGCAAAATAAATTGTTTTTACATTCAACTTACTTCCAATGACGGAAATTTTATTCACCGTCAACAACATAGCCCTTTACAGGTGAAAACAATGTAAAATAACTCGGCATGTTTACCATTTGTTCGCCTCAGCAGCCTTGACAGTTCTCGCGTGATGTACTGAGACTTGCGCTTTAAATTCAGAATCACTTGATAGAGTAATTATCGGTGTTGATAAATTTTTGTGTTTTATGGTATCACTTACCATCGATAACTAAAAGCATTCCACTTGATTTTTTCTTTTGAAAACAGCGATATTTATGCTTAAAATAAGGGACATCCTAAAAGAACTGCTCCCTAGATCCAGAATTCTCATTGGTTGTACCAAAATAAAATTGATCAAGGTGAGTAAACATGGCGGATTAATTCAAGTTGTGATGTTGACATACAGGAAAAATAACCAATATATGGATTGTTCTGTAGATTTTTTGGATAAATTCATGTCTTGCATAACTACATTTTATGAGTTCAGGTAAGATACATAAATAAAATAGCCACTTATTGATTATGGATTATGAAGATTCTAAGGAGTTGTAGACCCCCCCCCCCCAAAAAAAAAAAAAAAAAAAAATTGGAGAGGACTACATTATTGCAGCTAGTACACAAACTGAGGAGTAGTACACAAAGAGTTAACTGGTATACAGAACTGAAATCAACTCGTACAAAAGGTTTTCCTGTGTATAAAATGAAGATTTAATTTGTACACAAGATAAAAACAAACAGTCAACAGTTTACTCGTACACAATGTTTTTCTTACAAAATTTTACCTTCATCATATGCAAAAATCAATTCCTATACAAGGACATCATAAAATATATTGTATTATATAGTATACATTTTCCGTAATACTTGTCGAATAAAAAATAAAACTTAGATCTAATAAAAAACAAAAAATAAACTTATAGTTCGATCTGCTAGAGGAAATTCAAGATTCTCACACCTTAGTGAACTTGTAGGAATGAATTTATAGAGGCATTTTTCAAGCAAGGATATCTGATATTTAGTGGATGTTTCATAATCAACGTTTGTTGCAGATCCTAGAAACCGTTGGGCTGTACGTGTTGCTTTAATAATTATTGTTTGAATTCCTAGGACAGGAAGTTGTTAAATGTTTATAGGATACAAATTACTTTATTTATTAACATTTCCTTTTTCAAATTCTGAGTTTCCTTATTTTAAAAAAAGTTTAAAAATGTACAAATTGTAAATAAAACCTTGTGTTCAAGTTCACTTTCGATCTGTATACAAGTTGACTCCTTGTGTACGACTCGGTCTGTGTACGAGTCGGGTACGACTGTATATTCAAACAGTGCCCCCCATGCCCCCTTCCCGCGGACATTTGCTTACTTAAGATTTTCAGTCTATATTGCATCAAATCGTAGAACATCATCCCATCTCCCGCTGTTTTTCTCAAGTATTTTACCAACTCATTCCACCCATTCCAAAAATTTAAACTTTACGTACCAAGATTCAGGCAAATCACTGTGCCTTCGTACAAGACATCTCTGTATTCTGTCCTGCCGTCTTCCGAGAGATCTTCTGTTTCAAAGGGCACAGTACATCGTTCTCCGGGTTTTAATACTTCTTTACATTGTACCTTCGAACTATTTACTGCCGTGATTTGATTGTCGTAGTCAAAGTGAATAACATGGAAATCCATGACGGATGCAAAAAAAGGCGCACTTTTGTAATAACATCCGGGATATTTTGCTTTCTACATGGTTCGCTTCTAGAGGTTTTGACCCCTCATCGCCTGGACATAGTTTTATCAAAATACAAAATATTGGAGTAAATATTTATAATTTTTATCATATGAATTCTTTGAAATGAAATTTTCTTGTCAACGTTCCTTTGATCATGTTGATTGACATATTTACACATCGAAAAAGATGGGACCGAAACATTCTAGGTGCGTACTCCAAACTTCACATGCTCCTCTCCTATACACTTCCGGTAATGATGCAACTTGCAAGTAGAGAAAACAGTCCAGTTTAAGTTTACAAAATGCACAGTGGCGACGAATTTTCTAAGACAGGTCTTGTAAGGTCAGGAGAAAGGGAAGATGAGGTGTGTAAAAGTTTAATTATTAATTAATATTATGATAACATTTCATTTGCAAGTTGTAAACTTTCTAACAACGACGATTAACGCGATTTCATCTACATCTATTGATCTAATGTAAATTTATATACGATACATATATTACAGATTCCAGTTGGAAGAGATCAGCCATCTACTACAGATATTGTGACAGTTATTGAGCATAACACAGATGCAGTATGTTATACATTTTCAAAACATAAGTTAAATTCATACTACTAGCCCCCCCCCCCCCCATCAGCATTTTCTAATTTTACTTCTTATTCAAAGAATGTGTTAAAAAATAAAGCAGGAGGAAGTTTTATAACATTTTTGCATTATTTGAAGAGAAGTGGTTGTTTATTTTTACTGCTTTTTAATTTAACTATATAATATTGTTATATTAAAAATATTATTTTTGATTTATTTGTTTGGGGGAGGGGTGGTTAACAGGAATAGCTAGCTAGAGTATATGTCAGAAATTATGTGTTTTTGATAATTATTATTTACTACTAGTTTATGATTTGAAGGTTCCAGCTGTGATAGGGAGGGAGACAACGGTATCCATGCTGCTTCAAGAAAATGTACCAGAGGTATAATTGCCATCTTAATTTATATAACGTATTAACCCAATTTAAGCTTAGAAGTAGCTTCTAAAATTTAACAGGGTCTACTTAATACATGGAACTAGGTAACATTACAGAAACTGTACTTGCATGAAAAACTTTGAATTTCTTAACCCTTTTTTTAACTTAATTTCAGTATGCTGACCACCTCATAAAATTGTTTTTATTTAAATGTAGATTCTACCAATGGAAGAAACAGTGACCTGCATAACCGTAAGTTCTTTGCTCTTAATGAGTTAATGAATCATGGCTGTTATCACAAATCACAAGGACAAATTTTAAAAGCCTTTTAGAACTATTCAAAAAAAAAAAATGGTGTAAAATAGGGGTGAAATGGTTCACCACGGTATCGATTCACCATGGCATTTTTTCTTGGTTAGATAAACAGTGCAAAATCTCTACTTTCGTTTAACAGTCAAAACATTCTAATCAATTTCTTCTAGTCAACTTGCATGTAAATTAAGAGACTAGATTTAGTAAAAGAAAGCATAAAGCAATGTTGAATTTGTTTCCTTCTATCAAAATGTAACACATCAAAATTAATAGTACCAAGACAAAATTATACAAATATGTATTGAAGGAGGTGTATTGTTTCACCCCTAGTGTAAAATATATTTTCCCAGCAGATGCATTCTGTATTAATCGGGCTAATTCACAGGACTGTTAGTGCTTTCGGCTCATGCCTCAGAAATGATACATGTATGAGACCTGTTTACCCATATTGTTGTCTCTCAGTATTTTTTATTAGATTTCAAATTCAAATGTTTGACCTGTATTTGTCTAAGAGTTAGATAAACAGCAATACTATAGCATATTTTTTTTGTTACATTCAGTTTTTCTTTTTTATTTGCTTTGACTTTACTTGTTTAATCATATTTTATTTCTTGTTTCAGGAAGGAATGCAAGATGAGAAACAATCAAAAAAAAGAAAAAAACGAAGAAGAGTACAGCTTGAGGATTTTGTTGAAGAGAATATACAAGCTCCAGAGAATGAAGATGTTATAGAAACTGAAATACCACAAATAGTTAACATAAAGGACAGGTCTTTTGACTTTGATTTTCAAATGCCATTGGAAAATGAGGAGGAATGTTCTGATAATGACCAAGATGTGGAAGAAAATGTTGATCTAGAATTTGCTGATGAAGAAATTTCTGTGCTTCAAGAATCGGTTGTTGAGGCTTTGAATGAAATAGTACCAGATGTGCTGGAGGCACAAGAAGATTCAACTTCCAAAGATTACAGCTCTGAACCTCTCTATGATGGTTGTTCCCAAAAACTTGGCAGTATCATACTTATCATCTGTAGCCTCAGCATTAGATTCAAACTGTCTGATGAAGCTCTAAACCATGTAATCAACCTTTTGTGCCTTGTTTTACCCCCTGCCAACACAATGATTAAAAGTGTGTATGCCTTGAAAGATTACCTAAAAAAGTTTGTTAGTTTTCCTTCCATTCACTATGTATGTTCATGGTGTGGAACTCATGTTGCTAAAGAAGATAAAGTTTGCAAAAATAATCACTGTCTGAAAGATCTTACACAATTAGGAGCCATTGGCTACTTTATTCAACATTCCATTATTGACCAGCTGGCACTTATGTGCAAAAGAGAGTCTTGGCTAAAGAAAGTACAAACTCACAGATTTTTTCACTACAGCAACAAAAAAGAAAAGAACATTTCTGATGTTTATGATGGAACAAATTACAAAACAGCATTCAGAAGTGGTTTCCTTGATAATCCTAATTCTTTATCATTTTCATTTAATACTGATGGTGTTCAAATATTTAAAAGTTCAACTCTGTCTATGTGGCCAGTTTACATGCTTGTTAATGAATTACCACCAACAGATAGGAAACTGAAGGAAAACATTATTTATTATGGATTATGGATAGGATTGAAAAAACCACAAATGTGGAGTTACTTAAAGCCACTGCATCAGGAGATGACCAGATTGGAAGATGGTGTGCTGATGAATGACAAACATGGGAATAACTTTTTAATGAAAGCTACAGTGTTAAATTGTGTCTGTGATCTTCCTGCAAGATGCATGGTTAGTAATAGCATGCAATTTAATGGAAAGTATGGATGCTGGTTCTGCCACCAGCCAGGGCAGACATACACCACCAATAAAGGAGGGCACGTTCACATATATCCGTTTCAAGAAGACAATCCAAAAGGTCCATCTAGAACTGCGGAAAATCTACAGGAGGACGTAAATAATGTTGTAAAGAACATTCATGAACGGAAATCGGATTTTGTAGTGAGAGGAATAAAGGGCCCTTTTTGGTTCATGTTTATGAACCAATTCAATGTGATCCATGGCTTTGTTGTGGATTACATGCATGGAATTTGTGCAGGTGTTATGAAGATGTTGCTAACTTTATGGTTTGATAAACAACACAAGGATGAAAAGTTTTCATCCATAACAAACAAGGTTCTAGTCAGTGACAGATTAAAGTCAATTCAACCAAATTTGCAAATAACCAGACCACCCAGAAGTTTAGACGACATGCCACACTGGAAAACAGCAGAATTCCGTAATTTTCTCTTTCTTTGGAGTTTGCCAGTTCTTGATAACATTTTGCCTAGAGACTACTACTTGCATTTTTCTTTGCTTGTACGTGGCATTTACACCCTCTCTAAAGAGAATATTTCAGAAACAGAGTTGCAAAATGCTGAAATGTGCCTGATCAAATTTGTTGAAAATTTTCAAATTATGTATTCTGAAAGATTTATGTCAATGAATGTCCACCAATTATTACACATTACAGATTCAGTGAGAGCAAATGGACCTTTATTTTCAAACAACTGCTTTGTTTTTGAAGATTTAAATGGCTATATTTTGAAAAACATTCATGGACCAACTGGAGTAGAAATGCAGATTATAAATACAGTTACAAAGATGCAATCTATTCCTACTCTTAAAGAAAAATTCATTGGAGAAGGTTCTTTAGAGGAAACTTTGGTGGAAAATATCTTGCGTCCTAATTTTCTGCATAATAATATTTGTATTGAGGATGGAATTTATTTATTGGGACAAACATGTCCAAAAACTTTGATGCAGGATGAATACTTGGCAGTGTGCAAATTAATTTCCACTTTTTCCCCTGAAGTCACCGAATACAGGAAGATATATATGACTAGGTTGTCTAGTGCTGTGTATGCTGCATCTTATGAACGTTTGAAAAAGCGCAATCAGAGCACAGTGAAATATTCAGATGCTACTGGATCCATACAATTTGGAACTGTGAAAACTTTTGTGCAGGTTATAGATACATTTACTGATGAGACTGTCAATGTTGCTTTGATTGTGCCTCTTTGTTTTGGTGAAAGTGTATCATATTCATCTCAGAAACCATGCCACAGAGTTTTGACTGTCCATAATGCAGATATAATTGCAATACAGATTGACAAGATTTTGAGAGTGTGTAATTTACTTAAAATAGGCAACTCAACATTTGTCACTGAATTTCCAAACAAGTATGAAAAAGACTAAACGTTAATTTATATAGGTAATTCAACATTTTACTTGCTGGCAGATTTTTTGAAATTGAACTTCTGAAAATAGCCATACAATCATAAGATAATATTTTTTATATTCATGCATAAATAGAGAAATAGTTGACCAATTTAAACTTAATGTGGTGTCATGTTGAATCAACACTTGTTTCTTTAAAAATCAGGAAATAAATACATACTATTTAATGCAAATTTCTTGATGACTTATGTTCATGTAACTGACATGTACTGAATATAAGGAATACAAAGAGAAGCAGGTTTATAGATATAAGTTCCCTAAAAAAAGTTAAGATATATTTCCTTTTTTTTAAAAAAGTACATTATTTGAAGAATTAAAAGTATTATTTAAGATAAGAATGTATGAATTGAATTAAAAGGGCTAAGTTGCAAAATTACTAGTAATCTTTTAGCAGTTTTGAGAAACTGCTTGTTTGACTG